ATTAAGTGACTTATAAATTAGACTTAAAAACTTGTGCACCAAAGGATACCATCAAGAAAGTGAAAATACAACACACAGAGTGGCAGGAAATATTTTCAAAGCATGTATCAGATACGGGTTTATTATCCAGAATATATAAAGTGCTCTAACATCTCAACAATAAAGAAATAATAATCCAATATTAAATCATGGACAAAGGATCTGCATGAACTTTTCTCCAAAAAACATATGCAAATGGTGAATAAGTATATCAAAAGATGCTCAATATCATTAGTCATTAGGGAAATGCAAATGAAAACCACAATGAGATACCACTGCATATCCACTGGGATGGCTATAATAAAAAGATGGACAATACTAAATGTTGGTAAGGATGTGGAGAAATTGGAACTCTTATATATTGCTGAAAGGAATGTAAAATGGTGCAGCCACTGTGGAAATCACTTTCCCTATTCCTCAAATAAAACAGGATTACCATAATACCCAGAAGCTCTATTACTGAGTAGGAGTGATGAAAATATGTCTTAACAAAAACATGCCCAGAAATGTTCATAGCAGCATTATTCATAATAACTAAAAGTAGAAATAATTCAAATGTCCATCAACTGTGGAATGGATAAACAAAATGTTATATTTCCAAACAATGGGCCATTCTTCAGCCATATAAAGGAATTAAGTACTCTTACATGCTACAAAATGGCTGAACTTAGAAAACATTATTCTCTGTTAAATAAGCCAGACACAACTGAGCACACATTGTATGATTCCACTTGTATGAAATATCCAGAATAAGCAAATCCATACAGGCAGAAATTAGATTAGTGATTGATGGGTGGAGGGACTGATGACTAGGGTTTTGTTTTGTTTTTTTTTTTTTTTGAGGAAATGGAAATATTCTGCAGTTATATAGTGGCAATGTTGCAAAACCTTGTTAATATACTTAAAAACACTGAATCAAACATTTTAAAAGGACAAATTTTTTTTTAAAGATTTTATTTATTTATTTGACAGAGAGAGACACAGTGAGAGAGGGAACACAAGCAGGGGGAGTGGGAGAGGGAGAAGCAGGCTTCCCACGGAGCAGGTAGCCTGATGCAGGGCTCAATCCCAGGACCCTGAGATCATGACCTGAGCCGAAGGCAGATGCTTAATAACTGAGCCACCCAGGAGCTCCTAAAAGGGCAAATTTTATATGATCTGAATTATATCCCAATAAAAATTTGCAAAAAAAACCAAACTCCTTCAGTTAACTATTTTATATCAAGTTAGAAAAAATATTGTGATATTGATTTAATTTGCTTAATAGACATCGGACAAAAGTTGCCTGAAGATAACTTTTTCTTTCTTTTTTTTTTTTTTTAAGATTTTATTTATTTGACACAGAGAGAGAGAGAGACAGCTAGAGAGGGAACACAAGCAGGGGGAGTGGGAGAGGGAGAAGCAGGCTCACGGTGGAGCAGGGAGCCGGATGCGGGGCTCTATCCCAGGACCCTGGGATCATGACCTGAGCCGAAGGCAGACACTTAACGACTGAGCCACCCAGGCGCCCCCTGAAGATAACTTTTTCAATAGTTTGTTTTCTATGAAATAGATTTTCTCTAACTATAGTTTTGTTTTTAAGCTCTATGACTCTTACTTACTTTTTATAATAGGTAATTATTTCCATCTCAACAGTAATATGATTACAGTACCAGTACTTTCATGAAATCTTTCTATACTTCATCATTATTATTATGTTTTTAGAATGTCATTCTTTTTAAAAGGATAGTGGTTTTAATAACTTTAACAGTTATTTGGGAATAATGAATCTAACAAGATGGGTCATTCTCTGAATATGCAAACATGGTTATCTTCATATTCATTTTCACATTTCTTTTCAAATGAATGAATTATTCTCTCATCAGTTTAATTAGTATATTTCAATCTTGAGAGAATATTATCCATTTTCCATTCAGATCAGAACTGAGTTATTCAATTCAGCTGCATAAAATAACTAGGCTTCTGAATATTCTGGAGAATGCACCAGAGGAAATATTAGGAAGCACATTGGAATTCCAATCCTTTTCCATTTTCTCCACTCTTAAGGTAAAACCTCCAGATATAGTCTGCAGACCTACGATTTATTCATTTAAATTTGTAGCTCTCTATATAGACCTAGAAGGTATTTCTTTGTACCATAGGAGGGACTTCTGATTTCCATCATTTTATTTTATAACTTACAAAAGAAAACAAATACATGTATGTCAAAATAACTGACCAATGCTCTTCAAAATTGTCAAGGTAATGGAAGATATAGAACAAAAGAGGAACAGTGACATATTGAAGATGAAGCTCAAGATGAAAAAAGTCAAAAAGTTAAAACTTGAGAGCTTGGTATAGAGAGCAAACTGATGGTTACCAGTAGCAAGGTGGGGTTTGAGTGAAATAGGTGTTGGCAATTAAGGAGTGCACTTGTCATGATGAGCGCTGGGTCGTGGTGAGCACTGGGAATTACTGAATCACTATATTGTACACCTGAAACTAATATAACACTGTATGTTAACTACAGTGGAATTAAAATTAAAAACTTAATTAAAAAACTTGAGAGTTTAGTTAGAACTTTAGTAAAAGTGAAGGAAGTTCTACAGTTTATTAATCATATTGTTCCAATGTTAATTTCCTGGGTCTGACAATTTTACTATTGTTATGTAAGATCTTCATCTTAGGAGAAGTTGGATGAGGGAAATATAGGACTTCTGTATGATTTTATCACTTTTCTGTAAGTCTAAAATTCTTCCAAAATAAAAAGGAAAATAGCAGCAGCAGCAACTGCAAGAACAACTAAAACCTCTCAAAGTTCCAGGGTTTAGAATCAGAGAGTATTAATCCAAAAATTATCTTAAGAATTAACTCACTTTATTTAAGCTAATGCTATTCTAATAATACAAGACGGATGACACATAAAAATATGCTAATGGGGTGCCTGGGTAGCTCAGTCAGTTAAGCATCTCAATCTTGATTTTGGCTCAGGTCATGATCTCAGGGTCATGAGATCGTGCCCCATGTTGGGTTCCACATTCAGCATGGAGTCTGCTTGTCCCTCTCCCTCTGTTCTTCCCCCACCCCACTCTCTCTCAAATAAATAAATAAAAATCTATATCTATATATCTATATCTATATCTATATTCACATCACATAACTCATCTTAACCATACCTAACAGAAAATACATAATAGTTGTCTCTGCAATGACTGATATTAATCATAGCACTAATCAAAATAGACCATAGTCCAATGATGGAATGTATTTACAGGCATGACATTAGTCTCTGAGGAAAAAAGAATCCCACCTTTTCCCTTTTTATTATTATGTTTTTTAATGAGCTTTATGTTTCCTCTTCTGTCTCTCTGAATCTATCTCTCTTATTAATATAATTCACAGTTACTTACTCTGGAGCATTCTTCAGTAATGACAGAAAAAAATCACCACTTGTTTTTTTGTATGTCTTAACTAACCTATCATCTATTTTATCTTCTCTTCCTTTTCCTTATATTCCTTCTTATAATTACAGCATTTATTATTGTTCTTATAAGAATTGTTGAAACAAAATATATGTACTAGTGTAATTGCTAACATCAGCTGGAAACTAAAAATACAAAACATATTATTTTTTTAAAGATTTTATTTATTTATTTGCCAGAAAGACAGAGAGAGACAGCGTGCAAGCAGGGGGAGTGGCAGGCAGAGGGAGAAGCAGACTTCCTGCTGAGCAGGGAGCCTGATGTGGGTCTCAATCCCAGGACCCTGGGATCGTGACCTGAGCAGAAGGCAAACGCTCAACTGACTGAGCCACCCAGGCGTCCCATAAAAATACAAAACATATTAAACCAACCAGTTGAGTGCAAGTTTATGGGTAATAAAAGCAATCTAAAAGTTTCACCTCAGTATTAGGGATAAGGAAATCATTGAATTGGGCTTTTAGTTAGTCTTTCATTTTGATACAAAAATAATATTAATGTCATGCAAAACTTTTAAATGAAATATTAACAGTCAAAATCAGCAACAAATAAAGTAATATAAAATAATCAAGTGAAGTTAATTATAAAATTGCAAGAATGGTTCATCATTCTAACCATTAACAAATAGATAAACGAAAGTCACTACATTAACAAATTAAGTGAAGAAAACCATATGGTTATATCTTTAAATATTGAAAAGATATTTAATAGCATTCTACAACCAATTCTTAGCATGACTCTTAATAAAACAGGAATAGTAATTAGGAAAAAATACTATTCATGAAAAGCTAACACCAAATATTATTTTATTTGTAGATTGGTGAAGTGAATTTCAATAAATCAGAAATAAGTCAGTGAGATTAGCAACCATGCCAATAAGACTTCTCTTAGAAGTTTTATTCAATATAATAAGAGACTAAAAACATTAGTGTAAATATTAGAAACCAAGAAACAATTTTTTGTTTGTGGTTGACTTAACTGTTGATCTAGAAAACCTATGAAATTCCACTTAAAAAAAACTATTAAGGGCACCTGGGTGGCTCAGTCATTAAACGTCTGCCTTAGGCTCGGGTCATGGTCCTAGGGTCCTGGAATCGAGCCCCACATCGGGCTCCCTGCTCGGCCGGGAGCCTGCTTCTCCCTCTCCCGCTCCCCCTGCTTGTGTTCCCTCCCTCGCTGTCTTTCTCTCTGTCAAATAAATAAATAAAAATTAAAAAAAAACTATCAAAATGGATGATGTAATTTAGGAAGATTTCTGGGTACAGGATAAACAAAAAGCAAGTTTTTTTTTTTCTTTACTATCTCTCATAATTTATAAGTGAGCAATCCATCCTATTTTAAATGTTAACAAAATTATAAAATATCAAGAGATAAATATAATAAGAATATATAAAAAAGATTTTTATATACTATCTTATTTTATGCAAATACCAGTCTGATCACACATGGTCCAAGAACACTCAAATAATAAACCAAATATAAAAAGATATTAAAGATTGGTCTTCAAACATTATAGCCAATGATACCACGCTTGCTTATGATTTCACCAACATAAAACCTCATCCACACCTCAGTGGCAACCAAACCATTCAGCAGAGCTCCCTTAACTGTGAGCCCTTTGAAGCTACTGGTTTGAGCACACTTGACTATTTTTTTCAAGCTCTGAATAGCTGTAGGGATCTCAGCAGGAGTTGGAGGAACCAGCTCAACCTTGGCATAGTGTCAAAATGTAGCCAGTCAAGGTTACATTTAAGTCCCAGCAGCATTCACCAGCACCGGGACCTTCTCCACAAGGTTACAGACAAACTGGGCCATAGTTCCAGGATGTAAAGTCTAAAAAAATCTTTAAATTGTATAGAACAGGGCTAATACTTTAGAATAGTGGAGTAAGGACATCTGAGAGTCAGCTCCTCCACAAAAACAATAAAAACAGTGGTAAAAATTATTAAAATAATCTTCTCCCACTCTGGAAATTAACCAAATGTTTCCAACCATTCAAGGAGCATTTATTCAAGAAAAATGGTTAAATCTTGGAAATAACAGTAAGTTTTGCTTGCCCTATACCCATTTTCTTCTCCTCAGCTCCATGGTATCCTTGAAATCCTGTAGTCTAATAATCATAGTGCATTAACTCCAGCTGCTGAACAGCACTAGCGGGGGAAAATCAGGTTTGGAGCACCCTAAAACTCCACCCTACAGAACTGTCATTATTAGATTCATCTGACAGTTACTTAGAAATCCCCACTCTCAGGGAATGTTTTTGTTTGACCTGACTCTGAGCTTACTGGGAACAACCTTTCCCTTGGGACATCAAAACAATAAAAAACAATCAGTGACAATTGTTTAATTACTTCCTGAGGCAGTGATAACTGTTGGAACAAACAAGATTATGACTAAAAACTTAAAAGGAAAAGTTGACAAATAGGATATCAATTGTGGGGTTTGAAGACATCCCACATATTCCTGGAAATTGAGAAGGCCAAGTGTTTGCACTGGCTATGTACATGTTCAGGAAGATCTGAGAGGCCCTATTGTCTCATCTATGGTGGACCAATGGAGGCTCTATACAGCAATCAGGGAAGGCTAAGGCAGAGTTGGCAATTGCTTGCCAGAATGTTGACACCAAGCCTCAACATGCACACAGAGCACCTCATGAAAGGCTAGAAAATGTTTTGGTTAAAGGTATTTAAGGAAATCTCTCCAATCATTCACTGACAGCTACCCTAACCAAGCAGAGACTTCAGTGGCCATATATGACATAGAACAGAGACTTTACAAATGTAGTACAGGAGAGTCACTAAAGAAGCAACAACAAAAATAAATTCTGAGTAAAGGAAGTCAATTCTGATGTCTAGAATTGCCACATTATATTATATAAAGGTCCAATTATCAACAAAGATTATGAAACATGCACAGAAACAAAAATGAATGGTCTATACACAGTAAAATTGTCAATAGAATATTCCACTGAAAAAGCCCAGACATTTCATTTAATAGATAAGACTAAATCAGCTATTAAAATTTGTTCAGGGCGCCTGGGTGGCTCAGATGGTTAAGCGTCTGTCTTCGGCTCAGGTCATGATCCCAGGGTCCTGGGATCGAGTCCCACATCGGGCTCCCGGCTCAGCAGGGAGCCTGCTTCTCCCTCTGACCCTCTCCCCTCTCATGCTGTTTCCCTCTCGCTCACTCTCTAAAAAATAAATAAAATCTTTAAAAAAAAAATTAAAATAAAAAAAATAAAAAATAAAATTTGTTCAAAGAACTAAAGGAAATCATGTCTAAAAGTATGAGAACAGTATCTCAATAGAGACTACAAATAAAGATATAGAAGTCATTAAAAATTCTGAAGCTCATAAGTACAATAATTGAAATAAAAATTTACTAAAGGAACTCCACAGCAGATTTGAACTGACAAAGAAAGAACCAGTAATCTTGAGGATAGGACTATTATAACTATCCATTCCAATGAACAGAAAGAAAATAAGAATTAAGGAAAGTAAACAGAGCCTCAGGAACTTGTGAGGCACCATCAAGAATACCAATATATACATAGTGGGAGTCCCAAACAGAGAGGAGAGAGGAATGGGCACAAAGAATATTTTTAAAAAATAATGGCTAAACATTTCCCAAGTTTGATGAAAAACATTAAGTTACATATCCAAAAATCTCAAAACTTTCCAAGTAAGATAAACTCAAAGAGATCCACACTATGTACATCATACTCAAAATTCAGAACCAGATATAAAGAAAGGATATAAAACACAGCGAGACTGAAGTAAATCATCACATAAAAGAAAACCTTAATAAGATCTACAACTGATTTCCCAACAAAAACCTTGGAAGCCAGAGGGCTGTGGGATGACATATTTAAAGTGCTAAATGAAAGATTGTTGACCAAGAATTCCATACTTAGCAAAACTATATCTCAAAAATGAAGGAGAAATTAACATATCACCCAAATAAATAAAAACAATTTTTTTGCCAGAAGATAAAGTCCTGGGGATGAAATAAAAAGACACTATACAGTAATCCTAATCAACCAATCAATCCATCAATAGCACTAGTAATGGTAAGTATATAGTAAAATATAAACTATGATATTAAATGCATTATTGGATTATAATTATTTCTTTCTTGTCTGATTTTTAAAAACTGCTTAAAACAATAATTAAGAAACTGAGTTGATATTAGGATCTAACTCATGAAAACTAGCACATGGTTACAGAGATATACAGAGCTATACAATTTGTATATACAATTGAAATTAAGATGGCATTACATTGAAGTACATGTTTTTAAGTTAAGATGTTAGTTGTAATCCTCAGGAAAACTGCTAAAAGAATAACTCAAATATTTATTAAAATTACAAAAGAATTAAATAATATACTAGAAAATACACATTTACCACAAAGTAAGAATAAAGAAATAGAAGGAAAAAAACCTGAGACATAAAAAAACAAAGAGCAAAATTGCAGACACAAATTCTAAATTATCAGAACTTAGATTAAATATGAATGTATTAAACATTCTAATCAAAAAGCAGAGATCCACAAAAATAATAAAAATTTTAAATCATAATTTGAGGAACTATCTGCAAATCATATATCTCATAAGGGTTTAGTATCCAGAATATATAACAAAATCTACTAACTCAACAATAAAAAGTCTACAATCTAATTTTTAAAAAAGGCAAAGTTTTCAAATATTCATTTCTCTGAAGAAGGTACATATAAATGGTAATTAAGAAAATGAACAGATGCTCATCATTAGCTATCAGAGCAGTGCTAATTAAAAGCACCATATATTACAACCTCATATCCACTAGGGTGGCAGATAAATAGAACAGATAATAATAAGTGTTGATAAAGATATGGTAAAATTGAGACTCTCAAACATTGCTGGTAGGAATATAAAATGTAGCAGTCTCTATGGAAAACAGTTTGGCAGGTCCTCAAAAATTTAAACATAGAGTTACCTTATGCCTTGGCACTTCCACTCCTAGGTATATACCCAATAGAAATGAAAACAAATGTCCACACAAAGACTTGTACATGAATGTTTATAGCAGAATTGCTAATAATGGCCCCAAAATGGAATCAGTTTTAATGTCCACCAACTGAACAATGGACAAATGATATACGGTATATCCCAAAATGTAATACCACTCAGCAATAAAAAGAAATGGAGTACTGGTACATATTACAATATGAATGGATTTTTAAAACATTACACTAAGTGGAAGAAGCCAGTCTCAAAATACCACATATTATGTGATTCAATTTACATAAAATGTCCAGAATAGGCAAATCCATAATGACAGAAATTTGATTAGTGGTTGGGAAGGATGAGGGGAGATAGAAATGGGGAGAGATGGTTAATGGGTATGTGGTTTCTTTTTGGAGTGATAAAAATATTTTTGTAATTAATGACTATGGTTGCATGTTCTTATAAATGTACTAAAACCTCTGAATTAAACACTTTTAAAAAAGATTTTATTTATTTATTTGAGAGAGAGTGAGAGAAAGAGAGAGCACGAGGAGCAGGGGGGAGAGGGAGAAGCAGACTCCCCACTGAGCAGGGAGCCTGATATGGGTCTCGATCCCAGGACCCTGGGATCATGACCTGAGCCAAAAGCAGATGCTTAATTGACTGAGCCACCCAGGCGCCCCTGAATTAAACACTTTTAAAGGGAAAGATTTGATAGTATGTAAATATTATCTCAAAAAGATTATTTAAATTAATAAACAAATCTTATAGAAAGACATAAAAACACCAGAACTATTGGGAATGAATAGTATTTTCCTGCATAGGGATGGTTAATAGCATGAACATCTCAATGAAGACATAAATTTACCTATTCCAAATTTTTAGAATTGAAGTAAATGATATAAAAATTTATAGGGAATAATAAAGATCATCAAATGCCAATAATATTATATTAAAATTAATAGTTCAGTATTACTGATATAAGGCCTTCTATATTAGAAAATAAACTTATTCTGAGTCAGATGGATAAGAATAGAAAAATATATTAGTTGTGGAGCATAACTGTCTAAATAGATCTCAGATTTAAGTTAAAACAGGACAAAGTTGTCATTTTAATTCAGGTAATAAAGCATAGCTTATTTAATAAATGGTGCTGGAAAAATTCACTATTCCTTTGAGAAAAAAGAGTTCACTACTTGACATAATAAAAAATAAATTCCAGATGGAGTAAAGATCTAAAGGTAACAAGTAAAATAATAGAAGCATCTTCCAAAACTTAAGAAATACATTACTACAAAGTAGGGAATACCTTCTTAATCAAGACAGGAAAATAGAAGGTATTAAAACTGTTTAATAAATAAACAGTTGAATTAAAATAAAACAAAAAATAAATTCTGTGCTTTTTTTTAAGTTTTTCTTTTTTTTTTTTTTTTAAGATTTTATTTATTTGCCAGAGAGAGAAAGAGAGAGCAAGAGAGCTTGAGAATACAAGCAGGGGGAGCAGCAGGCAGAGGGAGAAGCAGGCTCCCTGCTGAGCAAGGAGCCCGATGCGGAACTCAATCCCAGGACCCTGAGATCATGACCTGAGCCGAAGGCAGACGCTTAACCATCTGAGCCACCCAGGCACCCCTGCTTCTGTGCTTGTATGTGTGTGTGAGAGAGGCACAGACAGAGACAGAGAAACAGAAAGACAGAGAAAAGAAAGAACAAGCAGTTAGAAGGGTATGAATAGGTACACATCAAATTATTACCACTGGTTACTTCAGGAGGATGGAATTAGAGGGTGAGGAAGAAAAAGATATAACACATGTACATGGAAATAAAATTTT